AAAATAAATAAACTTGAAAAAAACAAAAACAAAAAACAAAACAAAGTAAAAATTGCAATATACAGTAACAGGCATTTACCCCAGGCTCCTGAGGGGGGGGATGGAGGTCCACCCAGTCCCTAGCTCTATACCATGTCAACCCATCCACCATTTCCCCACCTGTATATTGCAATAGCTCTCCTAGAGCCTGATAGATGAATGATAGCATATAGAGATATATTCTAATAAGGGCCTTCAGTAGTCAACTCAGTGGGGTGTATCATGTGGCAGTCTCAGAACTGAAGGGGAAGAGAGAGGTGGAGCAGGAAAGAGGTGAATAAGTTTTTCCTGTTGCTGTTAAAATTACTGCATATGGATAACCCAGACATAATAACTAATTAAACAACCCTTGTATTTCAGAAACACTCCCCTGAAGAAGGATTTATTTCCAAATTAATGGGGTAGGCGAAATTTTACTTTGGAACCTGAAATTTTACTTTGGAACCCTAGAATTTAGTTATAACATGGCAGACTATTTTTTGGGGGGTGGGGATTGCAGAAGCCTGTCTGAGGACAGACGTCTCAACTACCTTCACTCTCCCTTAAATGAGAATTCTACTGCATGTAGCAGTCGATGGAGGTGACTTTAGTTTCACAGTCTGTTTTTCCCTGTCTCCATGGTCACCAGTGTTTCAGCTCCATGAGAAGACACAATGACTTTCTATCTCTGGGTTTAATTCTCCTAGCAGAGCCCCCTATGGTAGGAGTCCTACATTTCAGTTCTCTGTCCCTATGGATTTGATTCAGTAAATATTTAATGGGCAATTATTAATGTAAAGACAAAGAATAGCATTCTTCACCTGGGAGCCCACAGTTTGATGGGGGAAGTCAGAAACATGAAAGCAATTCTGAAGCAGGGACTCCTGATCTTGGCTGCACATTAGGATCACCTGGGGGGTTGCACTCCAGGCCAGTTAAATTAGAATCTCTGGGGGAGGACCAGGACATCGGTATTTTTTAAAAGCTCCCTGAGAGAGTCCAATGCGTTGCTAAGCTAGAGAACCATTGTTCTAAAGGAAAGTATACTTGGAAAATGCTGCAATAAAGGACTAACAAAGTGCTGTGTGAACAAGGATACCACAGCCATTCTGGCATTGTTCATACTCTCATCCACTGTTGACCACATTTCAGCCCATGAATGCAGAAAATGTAACCTCTCACTGTAACCTTGGGGAAATTTTAGGTCAGTTTGATTGTAGGACATTTAGAAACTGTGTATACTCTAGGAGGTGTGGTTTGTAGGAAACTATGTCCCCTAAGGGAAAGGGGACCCAAAAAAAGATGACCCCCAAATTCATTCCACGTGCTCTCTCTCTTCTTTGGAATGTTTTTTTCACTCCCTGTCTTCCTAAAGAAGTCCTAGTCTCTAAATCCCCAACTCAAACATCACCTCCTTTGTGAAGTGTCTCCTTTCTTTTTCATATCCCATGCAAAATTGGGTCCTTGTTTTTCTCTGCCACTTAGCTGCTTGCCTTTTTAGCATCAATTATAATTATTACAGAATTTAGTTATGTCAGGCAGCTGTTTATACATTTTCCCTCTTACGGGCTTTACTTATCTGTTTCCCTAGTACCTAGCATAGTGTCTTGTCTTGGTTTATTGAATGAAAAAACAGAGCCGTAGCAGTTGTACGTAATGTCCAAAAAGTCGTGCCATCGTTGGGGAGACCTGGACTCAGGACCTCCTCAAGGCTCCCTCGTCCAATTTCTGAGCTTTAGGAGCCTCTGCTTCCGAGTGGTGGGGCTAGAGAAGTGGGCAGACACACTCGCTGGTGTAATGCAGCTGGAGGAAGTGATGGAAGCCCTCCTGGTGCTTTAGTTGTGGTGGTGAACTTGAGTTTCATCTCCAGAATTTTGCTACAAGGGAGAGAGAAACAAAAGTAAGTTCACAGGTTCAAAGTGTGTGTGTTGACTATTGAAAAGAGGCTATGCCACCAAGTCCTGTTTTATTTACGCTGCAGGCATCCCCCAAAAGTTGAGCACAGCCTGGGAAGATTCCTCGTCTTTTTTACTTTTAAACTTTAAATCTTTATTATATTTTTTTTTTTTAATTTTTTTTTTTTCAACGTTTATTTATTTTTGGGACAGAGAGAGACACAGAGCATGAATACGGGAGGGCAGAGAGGGAGACAGAATGGGAAACAGGCTCCAGGCTCCAGCCATCAGCCCAGAGCCTGACGCTGGGGCTCAACTCCCGGACCAGCGAGATGGTGACCTGGCTGAAGTCGGATGGACCTTAACCATCATGCCTACCCAGGCGCCCCAAATCTTTATTATATTTTATTTTATTTGTAGGTAATCCCCACACCCAGTGTGAGGCTCAAACTCCCAACCCCGAGATCAAGTCACACTACCGACTGAGCCAGCCAGGTGCCCCTAAAGTTTAAATCTTTAAAAAAATAATTTTTTTTTGGCATTTCGTAGGTTTTACACATATAAAGGTGAAGAGATCATTTCAAATTTATAAGTACAAGGGTCATGCATTCCAGATTTTCTAGGGCAGTGCTAATTTTAGATCTTATATTCTGTTTTCAGACTGCATATCCTGATTTTTTTTAGATGGAGAGTGTGGTTGGTATTCTTATAATATCACCCAGCCAGCCATGCTTAAAAGCCTTCTAGTAGTCAAATTTCTAATTATCTTACATTTCTTTTGAGAAATCACGTAAGGCTGCCTTATGGACAAAAAAGCCTGAAGGTAATATGGGACTGGCATTTACTACATCACACTGAGCTCCAGATTTTTGTTGAATGTGGTTTCAGGGTGAGAACAGTATATATTAACACTCATCCCCCTACCGCAAATTAGTGCAAAAGTCCTTCAAGGAAAAGTCGGCCATTAAGAACTGTTCTGCCATTAAAACTGAAACAATAGTGAAGTGAGAAGAACGCAAGGGAGCTCATGGTTCAGTCGGTTGGGCATCCAACTTCAGCTCAGGTCACGATCTCGCGGTCCGTGGGTTCGAGCCCCGTGTCTGGCTCTGTGCTGACAGCTCAGAGCTTGGAGCCTGCTTCGGATTCTGTGTCTCCCTCTCTCTCTGCCCCTCCCCCGTTCATGCTCTGTCTCTCTCTGTCTCAAAAATAAAGGTTAAAAAAAATTAAAAAAAGAAAAAAAGAAAAACTGTTCTTTCATTAAGAACTGTTCTTGGTAGGGACCTGAATGGCTCAGTTGGAGGAGCGTGTGACTCTTGATCTTAGGGTTGTGAGTTTGAACCTCACGTTGGGTGTGGAGATTACTTAAAAAATGAAACCTTTAAAAGAAAAACAATAACAAAAACTGCTCTTTAATCCCACCTCTAAACTTCAGAAACGTTTCTGTGTGAGGCTGGTCAACAGGAGCCCACCAACAGGGACAGGGGGCCCCGAGGGAGCTGCTGGAGGGCCCCCCTGCTGTGCCACAGGCTACATGGGACTGCTCTGGTTATTTTGGACATAGATGCTGTGTTTTCTCTTTCTGCTTAATAGATTCAGACCAAATTAGACCTTAATAATCCAACTACAACCAAAGTCACGCCGATTTTAATTGAATAGCCCACAATTATATAATTGTTTTACCTATTAAAAAGTATAACTTTTATTGTCACCAACTAGTACCCTAAAAAGTTAAAGGCTAAATTTATAATAATCTTCTATATCTAAGGATCATAAGCTTTTACTTATTTATTTTTTTAAATTTATTTTGAGAGAGAAGCATGAATGGGGGAGGGGCAAAGAAGAGGAGAAAGATAATCCCAAGTAGGCTCCACACAGCACAGAGCCCTATATGGGGCTCAAACTCACAAACCATGAGATCATCTGAGGTGAAACCAAGAGTCGGACACTTAACTGACTGAGCCATCCCGGCGCCCCAAGGATCATAAGCTTTTAAAAAACCAGCTGAGGGGCACTGAGTGGCTCTGTCGGTTAAGTGTCCGACTTCGGCTCAGGTCATGATATCGCGGTTTGTGAGTTCAAGCCCCACATCAGGCTCTGTGCTGATAGCTTGGAGCCTGGAGCCTACTCCAGGCTCCCTCTCTCTCTGCCCCTCCCCTGCTCATGCTCTGTCTCTCAAAAATAAATAAATGTTTATTTACCCAGCTGAGTAACAGTTACAGTTGGCTGGTTTTAATCATCCATTTGCCACAAACTTTCTAGTAACCTGGTTACATTCTATAGAGAACATCTTGTATGTTCTTTAGTCAATATGTTATTCTATGAAACAGTAACAGCAGAATAGCCTCAAGTTACATCATTTGTAAGTAGCAAGCTATTAGAACAGGGATCATGTCATCTTTTGGAAGAAGCAAGCTATTTTCAGATGTCATTAAATTAGAAGCTACTTCTGGCTCCTGTGAAAGTGTTACATACAGTTGCTCCCTGCCTTTCATAATGCTTCTGTACTGGAAATTCTGCATAAGTAAGAACGGGGCCATCTCGGGGAACCAGCCAGGCTGTCTGCACAGATTCCTGTTAGCTGTTTCCATAGCTGACATCCATGTGTTTCCATCTGCCCTAGTCTTCTTGTCGCAGCCTCACTGCTTTAGTGTCCTGACATTTAGGAACTTCTCACCTGCTTGCCGTGCATTCCATTTGGGAGTAGCACCCTTACCATGAGCCAGATTTGAGTGCCTTAACCCTTTGTGGTCCCAGCGGGTGAATGCAACAAGGATATGTCTAGGGGTGGGGCTGGGCAGGAGGAGTTCTACCTCACTTGAGTAAGGGTTGAGAAAGGGAGAGGCCAGGGACAGCCTGAGCTGGGATCAGCCAAAAGAGCTCCTAAAACAAAAGAGAAGTGGAACCAGAGCTCCTTCTGGATGGTAGTCCAGGGTTCCTGCCAGTCCACGGGTCCTACTCACTGACAGACGACAACAGTCTCAGTGTCCGATAAGACTGTTAGCCTTAGGAGTCGCTCTTTATAACACCATTTTAACAGGAGGCCTCATTCTTCTTTTCTTATCCAGAACTAAGAGGAAAAAAGTGAATATGGTTTTTGCTCACAGAATGGATAACAGCAAGCCGCCTTTGGTCATCCCCACGCTCCTGGTGCCCCTCCAAAACCACAGCTGCACCGAAACAGCCACACCTCTGCCAAGCCGTGACCTGACAGACTTACATGGGGAGCACGGCTGGATGAGCAACAGAACGGACCTGCAGTACGGACTGAGACCCGGGGAAGTGGCCACAGCCAGCATTTTCTTCGGGGCCCTGTGGCTGTTCTCTGTATTTGGCAACTCCCTGGTTTGTCTGGTCATCCACCGGAGTAGGAGGACACAGTCCACCACCAACTACTTTGTGGTCTCCATGGCATGTGCTGATCTTCTCGTCAGCGTCGCCAGTACGCCTTTCGTCCTGCTTCAGTTCGCCACGGGGAGGTGGACACTTGGCAGTATGATGTGTAAGCTGGTACGGTATTTTCAGTATCTCACCCCGGGCGTCCAGATCTACGTCCTCCTCTCCATCTGCATAGACCGGTTCTACACCATTGTCTATCCCCTGAGCTTCAAGGTGTCCAGAGAAAAAGCCAAGAAAATGATTGCCGCGTCGTGGGTCTTCAATGCAGCCTTCGTGACCCCCGTGTTCTTTTTCTATGGCTCCCACTGGGACAGTCATTGCAATTACTTCCTCCCTGCCTCTTGGGAAGGAACTGCCTACACTGTCATCCATTTCTTGGTGAGCTTTGTGATTCCTTCTGTCCTCATCATCTTATTTTACCAGAAGGTCGTGAAGTATATCTGGAGAATAGGCACCGATGGTCGGACAGTGCGGAGGACGATGAACATTGTCCCGAGGACAAAAGTGAAAACTATCAAGATGTTCCTCATTTTAAATCTATTGTTCCTGCTCTCCTGGCTACCTTTTCATGTGGCTCAGCTGTGGCACCCCCCCGAACGGGACTCTAAGAAAAGTTCCCTTGTTTTCACAGCTATCACATGGATATCTTTTAGTTCTTCAGCCTCTAAACCTACGCTCTATTCCATTTATAATGCCAATTTTAGGAGAGGAATGAAAGAAACTTTTTGCATGTCCTCAATGAAGTGTTACCGAAGCAATGCCTATACTATCACAACCAGTTCAAGGATGGCCAAAAAAAACTACGTTGGCATTTCAGAAATTCCTCCCACGGCCAAAACTATAACCAAAGACTCAATCTATGATTCATTTGACAGAGAAGCCAAGGAAAAAAAGCTTGCTTGGCCCATTAATTCAAATCCACCAAATACTTTTGTCTAATTTCGCAGAGTTCTTTCAATTATTGTTATGTTGCCAGAGATTAAAAAGCTTTAACTCTAAAAACAGAAGCTATTTATATGCATTTTTTTTTCTGTCAACTTTCTGAGGGAAATGTTTTATTTTGTAAAATGCATTTAACTATTGATTGGAATTTCTGTGGTTTTCTTTTGGTTGCCTTTTCTTTTAGGGGAAGCTTTCACCTTGAGCTATAGTTAAGAGTTCTTTTACTCTATTAGTTACGTGCATAAAAGAGAGAATGCGTTCCTACTTTTTAGTTACCATTAAGTCCAAAAAGCATAAACCATACACACAGCCTTTGATTAATGACTCAAATTTGTTTTATTCTGTCTCCTTTTTCTCCTCCCTACTGAAATTTTATAACTATGGGCTTCTGTTCCAAATGAAATCTCCTGTCACACACATTTCAGAGACTTGTATTTCTGCGACTAAGTAACATTGAGGGAGTGTTAATATTGTATATGTTTTTACATTACTTTCTTCCAAGTAATCGCTGTCCGGATCTCCTGTGGAAAGCACCCCGTATGATGGAATACACTGGAACTTTCTGGGAAGTCTTCTGTGATTAAATTTGACTCAGGATTCTTAGGGAAAGAAACTTATAAAATTGCCTAATATCTCTCTCTCTCTCCCTCCCCATCTCTCATTTTCATTCTCCCTTAACCTAAGCAGTTGATGAGGTCTTGAAAATTCCGAGGTCAATATGTTTCTCTCACATCTGTGTCCCATCTGGGCTGTGTCTAGGATGTTTACTTCCCTTCTATGAGTTAAACTCAAGCAAATGAGTAGGTGTCCTTGCTAGGCAAGCCCTTTAGAAAATGCCAGTGGGAGAAATGACACATGGCGTTTCTCTGTGCTCTGCGCTTTAGGCAGAGGGCTTTGGCTGCCTGGCCCGACCTCTATAAATAGATACAGCGAGGACGAGAAGCACCTGCTTCATCCTCCTTGATACTCTGACCTGAGGCCATACGTCCAACCAGCGCCTTTTTCCCCTCATCTCTCTCCAGGATACATCTTCATAGCCTGGCCAAATTCAGACTCTTCTTTGCCTGTGCTATCTCTAGGTTTTCTTCTCTGCTTGTCAGCTTTCTGTTGTTTGAAATCTAGGTCCAGCACATTTTAAAAATGTTCCTATTTAAACAGTAAAGGGCCTACATGGGGCACCTGGGTGGCTCAGTCGTTAAGCGTCCGACTTTCAGTTCAGGTCATGATCTTGCAGTCCGTGGGTTCGAGCCCCGCATCAGGCTCCGTGCTGACAGCTCAGAGCCTGGAGCCTGCTTCAGATTCTGTCTCCCTCTCTCTGCCCTTCCCCCACTCATGCTCTCTCTCTGTCTCTCAAAAGTGAATAAATGTTAAAAATAAATAAACAATATGGGGCACCTGGGTGGCGCAGTCGGTTAAGCGGCCGACTTCAGCCAGGTCACGATCTCGCGGTCCGGGAGTTCGAGCCCCGCGTCGGGCTCTGGGCTGATGGCTCAGAGCCTGGAGCCTGTTTCCGATTCTGTGTCTCCCTCTCTCTCTGCCCCTCCCCCGTTCATGCTCTGTCTCTCTCTGTCCCAAAAATAAAATAAATAAACGTTGAAAAAAAAATTAAAAATAAATAAATAAATAAATAAACAATAAAGGGCTTACAGACAAGACAGTATGCATTTTCACATCCCAGTTAAGAGCTGCAAGTAATAATTCCAGTTCTTCAGCAATTTTACCCGCATTATTTTATCCTCTTGGGAATTCTGTGATGTACTACTTGTCATCTGCGCCTCATAGATGAGAATCTGGAATGCTGTTTTGTGACTTGCCCACATTGGAGTGTGACAGAGCTGGTATTCACACTCAGGGCCTCTAACTGCACGTATATCACTCTTTCCTTGACACTACAGATGTCTCTCTAAGGAACACACGAGTGGCCAAACCCGTCCAGGCCTCCGTGGGTCTTCTGGCTGCTGCTTTGGTAGAAATCTAAGGTCTAAGAGAATCTGCCTATTCTTAAAAGGAGAGTCTAGGTGGAATTTAATGAGCTGGCCCTCACCTTTTCTTCGGCTGTGGATAGGTTGTTGGACTTGTGCTGAATGTCAGAGATACAGACAAAGGGAAACGAGACAAGACTGGGTTCAATAATTAGGACAAGGAACAAGAACAAGAAAGCGTTTCATCTATGAAACATCTACAGAGCTGGTGTTTTTAAATGGAGCTGCTTCCTTCAGTCAAGTTCAAAAGGCAAAAAGAACATCTCATATTTTTCTTTTTCTTTTTCCTCCTCATCTTCTTCTTCCTTATCCCATCAGCAGATGGCACTCTAAAATGACAAAAGAAGCTAGACATTTCTCTCACTTAGCCCTCGAATTCTATGGTTCAGACTTGTTAAAAAACAGAGAAAACCCTTGCATTTTTGTCCATTTTTTGGTCCATACTGTTGGTCCATTTAAAAGGAATATTTTTAAAAGATTGTAAAAAGTTAAATTTAATTCATCTCAATTTTGTTTATATATATATTTTTAGGTTTTAGTTTAAACTAAAAGAGTTCTAAGCTCCATTCTATCTGTAATGTTCTGTGAGTTTATCCTAGTCGGTGGAAATTCAGTGAGACAATTTCATAGCTGAATTATTATAGGTCATGAGACTGATTTGGTTGACACTTCAAGGTTTTTTTTTTAAAGAATCTCCCAAATAATGACAAATTAAAAGTGTCAACCAAATCATAGTCTCATGACCTATAATAATCCAGCTATATTCTCTCAGCATGTTGATAATTCACTGTATTTTTGTTTAGTCTGTTTTTAAAAATTTTTTTTCAATGTTTATTTGTTTTTGAGAGACAGAGAGAGAGAGACAGCTTGAGGGAAGGGGCAGAGAGAGAGAGAGAGAGACAACAGAATCCAAAGCAGGCTCTGGGCTCTGAGCTCTCAGCACAGAGCCCAATGTAGGGCTCAAACCCATGAACCATGAGATCATGACCTAGCTGAAGTTGGACACTTTACAAACTGAGCCACCCAGGCACCCCTAGTCTTATTTAATATTCAGGATTCCTGTTGTCTCACTTGATCCTGAAATAGAGGAAACTGGATATAATTCACAGATTGATGAGGCTTTGCATAAGTCCCAACAGTACAAGAACAACATTCTCCATAACTCATATCTGCCTAGCAAGAATCAGTTAAATCACAGGGAGGCAGCCTATTGGAGACAGTAAAAACATTACCCCAGTCTCCTTACCAGGTACATATGAGGCACGCCATGAATCTGGATTCATGTAGCCTCCGAAGCGGAGTTTTCAAGAAAAATGATAGTGGGGAACAGGGTTCAGAGTAGAGGTGATGCTCATACCTGGCTCCCAGAGACTGTCAGAGGAAGGGACAGGGACGCATCCTTTAAGGTAGAATTCAAGTTGTTCCTTTTCTTCTAATCTTCAGTGAAAGCATTAGTCGAATCAGCCTGCTGCTGAAAGTCCACAAGCACATCCTGCTCATATGTGCTTCTCAGTTGACGTGACATGCCAGGTTTTTACCCAAGATGGCTGGAGCTGATTCCCTGGGCCAGAGTTCCTTGCTCAGGAAGGACAATTTTACCCAGGGGGGCCTCCACCAAATATGTGGGAGCAGTCATTTGCCAGATAAGGTGGGCAGTTTTGTGTCTTGGGGTGGGCACAGTCTTTCCCTTTTCCCTTCCAGTCTTGCTGCCCCCTGCTCAAACTCACTGTGAAACAACATAACTGAGATCTATTGGAGCTACTGGACCAGGATCAGCTTCGAGGATGAGCTCCTCTGGAAGAACTGCATGTAAAAGCAATGAAGAATTACAGAATTTTGGATTAGAAGGGACATTGAGAGACCTAGCCGATGCCCCTTATTGTTTAGGAGAGGAAATTACAACCAAGGGAGGTCAAATTAGGGGTAAACTAAAATGCCTTCTACCAACCAGTCCAACATCCTTTTATATATATAAAGTTTGTTTGTTTGTTTTGAGAGAGAGAGAGAGAAGAATGCACACTAGTGGGGAAGGGGCAGAGAGAGAGGGAGAGGGAGAATCCAAGCAGGCTCCGTGCTGTCAGTGCAGAGCCCGACGCAGGGCTCAATCTCAGGAACCGTGAACTCATGACCTGAGCTGAAATCGAGTCAGATGCTCAACTGACTGAGCCACCCAGGCGCCCCCCAGTCCAACATTCTTTTAACTTCACCATTCTGCTTGCCGTGGCATGATTCATTTATTGGAGAAAAAATCCTCCCTGTGTGCAGAAGTCTATGAAGAGAATAAACAATTCCCCACTGTGCAGTTAACCTGCTAATTCATCTGGAACAGAGACTACCTTGGCGTACTCTAATTAGAGAACAGGGGAGACAAACGGACTTTGTCTAAGTGTTTTGCAGAATGACCGCTTGGTGGCACTGTGGCTAGTAGGTAGAGCCCACCACCTCTTCCTGTGCCTGTCACATGGGCAATTTCTGAGAGGTCCTGGTCTCCTAGCAACAAGTCAGGGAAAATTGCTGAGCACAAGAAGCAGCTGTAGATTAACTGATCAATCAGTGTGTTCAAAAGACAGAGCATCTAAACATTTGGAGGAAATTCCAAAATAATTAATACTCTTTACAGACATGAAATCACTAGTCAAAATATTATTTTAAATCCATTTTGCAAATGGTATCACTTTCGCAAAACCCCATCAGACACCAAACTGGCGGGAGTGCCACCCACACTTACCGAGGCCTCTGTCTTTTCTGTTCCCTTTACCATTTGACTCTGAGAATTCATGGCCCTTTTCATAGAAGTGCAATCTAGACTTTTCCTAAAAGTAAATGTCCCTATGCTCCTAGGCAGTTAAGTTTATTTTAGGTTGAATTTATTTTAGGGCCCTCTCATTTCCCTCAGACCGTCTTTAGTTTTTTGATCCCCTATAATCTGGGCCATTCTGCACTTTTTGCTCAACCGAACAAAGCTCTGTATTCTTTTCCAGAAGAAGCCTCTTTAAAAGATTGCCTTTTAAAACT